GTGTGTGTGTGTGTGTGTGTGTGTAGAAAGAAAAGCTGAGAAGTTGACAAAGACACAGCGCCGAGAGCTGCATCTGAACATCTGATGTCTATTTACATGAAAACCCGGAGAATTAAACGTGCCAGTGCCGCAGTTAGACATAAAAGCATGCTTACTCTTCCTCGGCCTTTTATGGTTACCCAGTTTTTAGACTCCTGCTGCTTACTGCGCCCACAAAGATCTGTAAAACTACTGCAAGCGGATCCATGTTTGTCTTTGCTTAGAAAGCAATGACATGTCCATCTGTTTCCCCTCAGAAATCAGTCTCGCTTCTTGTCTTCTGCGCCCTACACATGCAAGAAAGTGCCCCGCGTGGAAGCCTGCCTGCTTTCCTTTCGTAAACACGCACACGCCCGAAGCGCACACATGCATATAAAAGTGCTACAGCGCGCGTACAACACATTCACCCCCATCCACCTCTCTCTCCCCCCCCTCTCCCTCCTCTTCCTCTCTCACTCGCTCACACATTCTCACAAGCCTATAGCGCTTTTAGAAGAAATGGTTGGAGCTGCCCCTTCTCTCTGCAAGTCAGCGGAATAAAACGCGCTCTACACTTTTCACCAATTTTCTTTACACGAAACTCCTTGCTTCTAAGACGTTTTTTTTAAATTGTTTTTTGTTGTTTTTAAAAAAATATATTTTTTCCTTCTCCCTCTTTACGCAAATTGAAGTTCTTTTTTTCGAAAACAAGGATACCGGGAGTTTTACGCATTACATCGAGCCAGTCGAAGGACGGGTATCATATCAGCTTCCTTTGCTGTCTTTTCTCACAAATAAAACAGAGTTCTCCGCTGGGGAATTACAACCACTTCGTTTAGGACTTTAAATAGGCAGAAAGGATTTTCCTTCAGTCGTAATTAGCGTGCCTCGCCACCCTCCTTGTCTCGAGCGCGCGTACTCTCCATATGGCGTAAAACGTGCCTCGCGCAGGATAAAGTCATCAGAACTGGCACTTTGTAATATTTCAGTCTCACTTGGCGAACCACAGAAGCCCAACGACCATCGTCGTCTCCGTTAATAAGGAGCTTGGATGTCAGCAAATAGTACTGCCGCTTGGGAGTGGAAACGTCTCCTGTCATCTTCATTTTCTCCAGCATGGCATCTCACTGGAAGTAGCCTTCAAAGTGGAAGATGGCTTTTTACTGTCCCTAGGTTATAGCCTAATCCCTCCGCATGCCTAATGGCACACTGACGGTGAAAACTCGGCTTTTGTAAAAAGGTAAGAGCTTAGTTGTGGTTTAAACTCTTCAAGGGGAGACGTATTCAAGCAGATTTAAGCTGACAGTTTTACAGTCTCCCTTTTATTTACATTCATATTTTACAACGCTCAGTGTTAATATTTGAAGAATAAAAAGGTTTAACATCAGCCACAAGCCATCTGAAAGACTGATGAGTGGGGATACGTGTCATCTTACTATTATCATTTTTATGAGCTGTGCTAATCTTTGTGTGGTTTGTTTATTTGCTGTTTTATCTTGGAGGGAATCCTCTGATCATTTTACTGTGCCAAGGCTGAGATGATCCTTTGTTTAGGCCAGCCTGCTGTCTCTTGATTATCATTGGCCAACTGGTAGCCAAGAAAACGTGATGGCATGCATGTAAGCCTCCAAAGATGGATTAAAGATCATTAAAGGTCAAACAATTTTAGTGAGCCTATTGTCAGAAACCTTCAAGCAATATTAGGAGCACACAAAGATGTAACAGTAATATATGACTTTTAATGTCTTTACAAACATTTATGCAATAAACTAGCTCAGTGCTGCACAGTGCATGTACACCAGAGGCTTCTTGTTTCCACATCACACTTGAGTAGGTGGAATACAGACCACGACTGGCTTCTAGTTATGATTTTACAGAGTCGTCTCATCTATACGCACGTTAAACTCGACTTTGAAGTGAACATAGAGAAATGTGATGATTGCCTTTTCATGGGCACATTTCTAAAGATTCAAAAGAAGAAGAATGTGGAGCACTTTAACAGGAGGTGCACCGTCACTGGTTTTATCGTGCAGCGTGAATGAAATGATTTTGAATTAAGAGTCAGCCTCACCTTGAGGGCCGTTTGAAGAACTAGGGTAACTCACTCAGCCAAATGGCTCATAATAAGACAAATTTAGCTGCCAAACACTTTGCAGAGAACTGGATCTGGGTTTAATTTGGGAATAATTAGGAAGTCGAGTGATGTGTTGGTTAATCCTCCGTCACAGATATCGTGCTAACCGGATAATCCTGTTTAAATACCCCCTTTGGTAGGTCAGCAGTTCCTTCAGTTTTTTCACTCCAAAGACCTCCTTGATGAAATAATAAGATCCTTTTGTGTGTGTGGAGAAGAACAAATTCTGGTTTGGGGTTGGAAAAAAATGTTAGTAATCAAATTAAGGAAAGCAACATCACAAATGAATTATTTCATGTTTCAGTCCAGTTTGTCCACCACTGCTGGGGCCAGCTCGCGTCCCAGGATGAGTGTGGGTGACTGACTGACACTCAGAGCTGTGAGGAAGACAGAATGAGTCATTTTAATGGAATCAACAGGGGGCTCACTCCAGTTCATAAACACACAAACATGCACGCTCTTACGCCTGGCATAAGCATCTGATGATTCAATGCAAAACTTAATTCAATTAAGTAGAGAATTTATCACAGGAGGCAATGACACTGAGTCAGCGTGAAGGATATGTGCAAAAAAAGATTTAAAAAAATAAAAGGAGTATGTATCATCAAAATAACGAGGGGAAAAAACAAGATGGTGAAGGGGGTGGATGATTTGACACTCCAGCACTCGCTTCAGAAAATGCACTGCCAAAAGGTCAGCGGGAAAACATAAAGGGACATATTCTCCAGACAGATGACTCACCCCCTGACCATGAGTCTGTAGGAGTGTGGCACTACACAAACACTCATTTCTATCTGTTTTCCTCTTTTTTTCTCTTCTTCTTTTACTTCTGATAGTCTTATCTGTTCCCTTAAGAGCGCCAAGGAAACAGACATAAATCACAGCGGTCCTTTACATTGGAAAGCAGCAGCGCCAGATGCGATAAGGTTAATACGATTCAACAGGGTCTGCACAAAGTCACCTCTGGCTGATTAGACCTCTGCGTGCACAGACTGACTTAACCCACACAGATCTCACTCCAGTGTGCTCTGTTGTACTTGTTAGGCTAGGAAACTTACATCATTTAATTTTTACTACCTTTAGGAGCTTGGTGACTCCCAACCAGGCTTGTTCACTTTAAATTTTCAGCAGTACAATGTTATATTCATATTGATGAGAAGCGTAAGAGTTGCCAATTACTGCATAACGTATTCTCATCTACAACTCGTGCTGTATTTTTCTGCACTATATCCAATCGTTGTAGAAATGTTACAACAAGCAGAGTATGTGACGCTGAAGTGGTTAAAAAAATGATCATGTCGCCAGTTTTTTTCCTTTTCTCACATAATGCTGATCTTGTCAGGGTTCATGTCGTTGTCACTGCTCTTGTTACTTACACCTACTAATTGGCCAAAGTGCCATGTAGCGGGTTCTGAGTTGGACAGCATGAGCTTTTCAAGGTAGGTGAAAAGCAGCAGACAAAAACAAATATTTTGTAGGACGTGCACCAGCACAATTTTTTTTTTTTAGATCAGCAGCTGATCGAGCAGATGTGGGGTGTGTTTCTGGAGCTGAGTGTGACCTCTGAACTTTCTGGAAAGGCAACTAGAGAACATGTCAGGAGTGAACAAAGTGGATTACTGAAACATCTGGCTGCATGAAAGAGATTTGTTCCCGGTGTGTATGCAGGGCACAGCATGCATAATCCATGTGTCTTCACTTTCACAGTCACTAAATGCCTGGAGAAGCAGAGAAGTCATCTGTAAGAGATCACACTAGCTAGTCCATATTACACTTGTACAGTGTTCTATAAAATACTACTATGTGCTCCTACCATAGCTAGCATAAAAGGTGGATGTAGTGACTGTGACATCACCCTCAACATGAGTTTCTGAAGCCACATTTTGAAACCTCGACATGAGTGTTTTGGTTTTGTTGCTATCGTGGTTGCAAACAATAGGATGTGATGAAGGGGGCAGGTCTGACTGTGAAGCCACACGCTTATTTAGCCAATATGACTTGTGATTGCCAATTCCGTAGCCATTGTAGGTATAGCACAGATAATTCAGTTTTTTTGAAACATGGTATCATCAAGATTTACAAACTGGATGCAATTTTTATTCAAAATAAACATAAGACATTCTCCCACTTAAATAGAACCAGAAATCTTTTTTGCAACCACATCTATCGCCATTTGGCAGCCTTCAGACACAATGCAAGCTCTTACAATTACAGTCAGTCAGTGTTTTGACTGTGTTTTTGGAGCCAAATATTATCTTATATGAATGTGAAGGTGACATTTATACTAGGCAGCTTGATAAGTAAACACCATTCAGAAAATATAAGAGTCCAACACACAGACACACACATATCAACTATTTAGTGCAAAATTCCACTCACCAAGTGATGCGTGCAAATTTCTGGGATGGTCTGTACTGCACAGCAAGCCATAATGTTTTGACAGACAATCCATTAAAAATGCTCCAACAGGCTTAAAGAGCATGCACGCACACACACACATACACTGAAGAGGTGCAGTTTAATGACTGGCAGTAGTGGACGAAGCCTAGCAGAAACTAACTGGCTCCAGAGCCCGTGCCGGGACACCTATCAGTCAAGGCAGCCATGAACCTATGTCAATTATCCAGGTGACAAAAACAAAACTTCCCCTCAGTCAGAGTTGTTATGAGTTATGAGGAGGCAATTCATATTTTGCACCCGGCTGTAAATGTGCTTTGTAGATCTATAATTTTGGACATTGAGAGTCTGTGGAGCCAACCTCAAGTGGAAAATTTGTTATAGTTGTGCATCGTTCTTCCACCTCCCGAGGCACCTGTTTGTTAAATTAATAAATTGTGTAAACTGCTAATATGTCGTGTTTTTTCAGACTTAAATCATCCAATCAAATAAATGGCACCAAACAAGAGTTAATAGCAGAACAATCTGTTTGGCTTTGGCACAGAAAATTTGGCACATTTTTGATGGGTGCAACCCCTATACTCAACTCTGCTCATGCATTTTATACTGTTTGTATAAGATTTATCGCCAAGAAACATTGTTACAGCATTGTTACATCAACCAAACGCAACATTTCCTTACTTTTTTGCTAAGTTTATACCCATCTTCATCCAGTCCAAGACATTTTGGCTTCTATTTAGTGAGTGATCCTTATTGTGTTTTATTAATCTGTTGCTTAGCGCTAATCGGCTGATATCTGTGTTATATACAGTTTATGATAACAGCCTATTGACTCTGCTCGAGAGCAGAGGAGGATCTAACTTGAACGGGCAGAGCTACGAGAGAAGCAAATAAATTGGCAAGCAGTAAATTCATTCTTATCAAATTAAGTCAGCCTTTTTCACTCTTTCATGAATTACATTATTGTCACCATTAGCGTAGGTGTACAATGAATCTGAAGTGCTTTATTTTGACATGGGAATAATAAAAAAAAACTACAAAAAAAGCTTGATGGTATAATTGTTTAAGCTTTTTAAGCCAAAAGGACAGAACACAAAGATCTGATTTTGTTCACTTTTTTTGTTCTTAACCCCTGCAAGTTAATTTCCATCACGACTGGCTCGAGAGCATTAAGTGAACTACATTTTAATATTCTGAATACTTGCAAAACTATTAAAAAGTCATAATTATATTCACTGAATTAAAATAAAACCACGCTATTAAGTCGTGCTGGTGTGTTGTTACCATGTTAGACTCTCAGCTCCATGCGATTATGGCAGATGACCTTAACTTCAGCAGCGGGGGGGGGCTTCATCTGTCTCTGCATTTTCATGGCCTCAGTTAACCTCAGCAGAGAACTTTACGGCATAAACAAAAACAAATGACCCACTATAATTGTAACAGGAGACATGCAACATTGGATGCCAGATTTTCCCTCCCTAGCAAGCTCCATTTTTATCCTCCTGCTCATTCCTCTCTCATTACATCTCTCCTTGCCTCTTTCCTTCGTACTCCATCTGTGTCCATATTCAAGTTCTTTCTCCATGACATGTCAGCGCACACTTCACTGCAGTGAGTCATTTGAAACAAACTTTCTTCAGCATGCTCAGAGTACAAAAAATAAAAAGTCTCTGGAGTTTGTTAAATGTAGATCAAAGTGTCTCCTGTAG